CAGAAGACGATCGCTTCTATACCCACGGTGAAAGGCTCACACAACATCAAGAAAATCATCTTCTCCCAAGACCCAGCATCCTCGCCACCATTACACATGAAGGTAATAGTATTGCCGTGTGCAGAGTAGGTTACCAGGACGGTGGATGATCCTCACATCTTTGGCGGCACGGTGAGATCGGATAGGCCCCATGTAAAACCTAACCCCGGTCACCTATATAAGGCGGGGCTAGGGGTAAGCCATTCCCATCCATTCTCTCATATATTAGACTCTTGGTAATCTAAATCATCATCTTTGTAATCCCCTCGCGCGAGGTACTCCACTATCAATAGAAAACATAAAGCATGACATACGGTATTACCTCACCATGAGGGTCTGAACCTGGTCCTCGTGAGGTATAGCGTGTGGTTTGTGAAGCGAGTGTGGGCTCGTTTCTTCGTCGGGCTCAAAACTTTTTCTGCGCTCCATAGAGGCCAATCCAAGGCACATGTGAGGTCCTCACCTTTTAGGGCCCATCGACCTTGTTTCGAACATTTAGGGCATCCTGCATCTTCCAGGGATGACAAATGGCCCGAAATTTGATGCCAATTTTCTCCATGCTGAACCAAACAACATACGAGACCCGAATCAGTTACGATGGCCACACGGAGCTTACGTCCTGCGATCAATTGATCGATTCGCGACCAAAATGCATAAATTTACTTCGGACTGGACAAACGTCCATGGACGCACCCGGGTAGTGTCTGGGTGTGTTTGTTTTTAAGTCTATTTATCGTGCATCTAGCCATGTCCCTTTTTTTCTATACGCTGGTCACATGCATGTGATTAGTTGGAATGAAGAGAGAGAGAACAAAAAAAAATGATGGTCCTCGGTGTGGCCAAATCCTATGTGATGGACGTAGGACAACTTATCAGACACGGTCGGGCATTCCTCATATTGTCTGCCTTCAACTTTTTTTTTTGAGAACTGAGACCTCCTGTTTATACATTCGTCCAAGCGTAGCAGGCCAAGCTGGGCCGTTGAAGACAGCGCCCATAAAAAGGCCCCACATCCGCATTGAACAAAGAGATCGGGGCACGTATGGATCTGGAGTTCGAGAGATGTTCGAGAGATTTCCTCAAAACTGCTCAGCGGTCTCTTCCATCCATGTATTCTGATCCGGCATGTACCCATCTTCTTTGCTCGTGCAATTTTTTTGGTTAGAGTTGCAATAGCTTGTGCAGATCTTGCGGGCTCTTGTGCTGATCAAAGGAGCGCTCCTTAATATTAGGTTGATCTCAACTCCTTCGGCTTCTATTTCTACAACCATGGAAACATTATGGGCTTTCTACTTCAGCTTATTTTTCCTTCTCTAAAGGTTTGTGGGCCTTCCCATCAATTATTTTTTCCTTGCTTGATCATTATTTCAGCCTACAATTATGTAGGTTAATTTACACCGTAATAACTCGGTCCCATTAGATTAATGGTCAATTTGTAATTAACGTAGTAATTTGTATGGAGTCGTATATTATTATAGGTATAGATAGGAAGATAGATAGACATCAATGAAGAGACTGATTGAAACAATGACTGACAACGACATTTGAGGCCCATTCCCCCTCAATACAAGTCCAGCAGAGAACCACAGATATAGCGTCTCTCAACCCTTCCACATATATTACAGCAACAACTCAGTCCACCCCCAAATACTTCAGTGTAGCAAATGTTTGACCGACTCACAACTGCATTTTGTAAGATGTTCGGCTGCACGTTGTGACATAATACAAGTAGCGAAGCATCATCAAAAAATATATAACCTGTAGTGCAAGCTTAAAACAAATACAAATACTAGTAGAAGGTCGAAGCAGCTCGCTTAATTATGAAAAGAGAAAAGTATGTTTTGGTCCCTCAAGTTTCCCAAAAGTATAGAATTGGTCTCTAAAGTTGTTTTGGTAGACCAAAACCAGATTTTGACTAGTGTTGAACAGGTGTGACCAATGAACAGTAAATCCAAAAATTAGAAAACAAATTCAAAAGAATCTGGAATTTTTGGACAAATGTCTACCAAAAAAATCTTGAGGGACCAAGTTATAATTTTGGGAACTTGAGAGACTAAAAACATAATTTTCTCTTATAAGATCTATTATAAGGTCCCACCTATGCAATACTCCTCTATTATTAACTTTTCTTCTAAAGATAAAGATAAATATTTCTCTTTTTTTTTTCTTTCCTGAGCGAGGTGAATGATTTTAGTCCCTCGTAAGGAATAACAAAGCACTATGGTCGAGCCATGGAAATTCAGTCCACGATGGTAATAGACTTTGCTGACCAAGTATGGTCGACATTCTCCCATGGAAAATCTTCATGATTTCGATGGTCATTGCCAATTTGCATGCCGTGTTGCTGCTGGTTGAATTAATGGCGACGCATATGGAAAAGACCACATCATTTTAGGGAAATGAAAAAATTGAGATGTAGGCATTACTGGAGTATTAGTACTGCAGTTGCAGCACGCACACGGCAGGCAAGCATACACGACCGACCGTATACGTTATCATCCCACTTAAACTTGTACTCTGACCATTTCAAACTAGAACTAGGACTCATAGCAAGAAAAGAAAAGAAAAAACACTAGAACTAAGGCAGTTGTAGCAGCTGTTTTTTTTTTACAAAAAATAAAAATAAAAATTGTAGCAATTGATATGATAATTCTAATTAAATCATTATCATTTAGGATAGGAAGCTACTCGTACAGTACGTTTCCTGGATTATACAACCACTGGCCAGGTAGAGAAACGTTTACTATCGAGTACATATGGCAATTCACAAGTTGGCAGTCTTGCAGATTTTTCACTTGACATCGACTCTGCGTTTTCATGTGGCTATCAGCAAGCAGCAAGCAGTGGCCATAGTCGAGTCGTGTTGGCGTTAGCAATGACCGTCACATCTGATTGGAATAATGGCCCTGGAATTCCTAGCCACATTTACTGTTTTGATGGACACTATAGACGACTCGTACCTGGGGTCGCCTTTATACAGTCTACTAATAGCGCCAAGCCAAACACCTAACCCCAACTCCAACACTAAACACCAGACAGACCAGCCTACTGGCGCACCGCAACGATGAGCAAGGTACTCATCGCCATGTCTTTTGTGCTGATGTTCTCGGCAGCTCCGCCGCAAGCATCGGCTGCGGTCCATGGAGTCGCCGGAGGGATCCTGAAGATCCCTTCTAATGACTCCTTGGCTCACTGCATCACGGGGTGCGGGGACATCGACTTCTCCTATCCCTTTGGTATAGGGCCCGGCTGCTTCCGTCAAGGCTTTGATCTCACCTGCAACCACTCCACCAAGCATCCCAAGCTCTTAGGCAGCAGCACTGTCCAGATCACTCGCATGTACTCCAGCTACGGCATAGTTTTCAGCCCTATATTCTTCAACCTTACGACGAGTCCAGGTACAAATACCTACGACATGTCATGGGAGGCCCCCGCTAAAGGTATTACTATCGCTAGTGATAATACTCTGTTCGTAGTTGGTTGTGATTTCGATGTCACCTTGTTCGAGTATGGTACGGGAGACATGGTTGGTTCTTGTATGAGTAGATGCGCCGGCGAAAAGGTACCGACTGGAGGGCCTTGTAATGGAAGAGGCTGCTGCCTCATCCCGTTAACAAGGGACCTGCCCGGTTTTCGGGCAGAACTTGTCAGCACTAATACTACTGCAACACAATCAGATTGGTTGCACCCTGGCATCATGGCTATTGTGGCACCTCAATATCATTACAGAGATGATGATGGCGACAACACTAATACAACCACTCTATTCTCAAGTTGGACAAATGCAAGCAATATTTATGGCGCAGCTCTTAGTATTAACATCATGGACCAACCAAGCTGTCAAAGTGCACAAATGAACAACGCAAGCTATGCCTGTAGCAATGGTAGCAGTTGCCAGAATTCCTCATCTGGTGGTTACGGGTGTTACTGCTCTTCTTATGAAGAAGGCAACCCTTACATTTTAGATGGATGCATGCAAGGTACTTCCGGCCCTAAGTTTTCTCCAAAATGATTTAGAATTCCCTTCTATTTTGGTTTCGTCCTCTTGTTCTTACTTTTTGTGTATCTACTGTGGAGCAGATTATAACACGAAGCCCAAAGAACACTGTACTGAATCATGTGGACCCATTACTGTTCCCTTCCCCTTTGGGCTTGAAGAAGGATGTTTTGCAAACGAAAAATTTCATCTTAATTGTACATCTGGCAATCTCACAGTCTCTGTCTCAGAAGGTGCACAATATCAGGTGACTGGTGTCTCTGTGGAAGATGGGACTCTGACTGTTAGCAATATGGTGAACGGAAGTAATGCAAAAGAGGCAATATTAATCCAGACTGACAATAATGGAGAGGAATTGGAGGAACCTATGGAAGATCAATTTGACTTCTCTATGGAATACGATCACAATGTTATAAAGTGGGCGGTTGCCAATTCAACATGCCAAACAGCTATGCAAAAGGATACTACGTATGCATGCCGGAGTTCCCAGAGCTATTGCCTAAACGTTACCCACCGGGAAATATTTATGGGATATCGTTGTAAGTGTTCTTCAGGCTTTCAAGGAAATCCGTACGTCAAGTATGGATGCACAGGTCTGAACCTCTTCATTTTGTACTAATGTTGCTCCCACGCTTACAAATATTTAGAAAATCTATGAAAACGTCACGTGAACCTAGAGGACTTCAATTAATGCATGGAGACCATACAAATTTAATCTGGCATTTTTTTTAGCATGCAGTAATACATTCGCCACTATATATAACCAATGAGAGTTTTCTACAGATATCGACGAATGCTTACTGTCAAACTACTGCAAATAGACATGTCAAATTTTCCTGGTGGCTACACATGCGGGAAGCAACATAATGTTATTTTGGGTAAGTCATAGCTAGGAAAATCTCGTCATTGCAATTAAAAAATTAACCAAATGTAGCGTGACTCAGAGAGCGATGAATAAATGTAGGTATTGTAACTGGAACTGGATGTGGCCTTGGTTCCATAATCATTGCAGTCTGTGTAGTTGTCTTTACCAAGAAGTGGAAGAAAGGCGTCCAGAAGAGAATCCGACAAGCACATTTCAAGAAAAATCAAGGCCTACTCTTGCAGCAGCTGATCTCAGATGAAAGTGCCACAAACAAAACAAAGATATTCTTCTTGGAGGAACTAGAGAAGGCAACCAACAACTTTGATGCCACTCGTGTTCTTGGTTGTGGAGGATACGGCACCGTTTATAAAGGGATTTTATCTGACCAACGGGTGGTGGCTATTAAAAAATCTAAAATTGTGGAGCAAACTGAGATAGACCAGTTTATCAATGAGGTTGCTATCTTATCTCAAATCATTCATCGCAATGTAGTAAAGCTATTTGGTTGTTGCCTTGAATCCGAGGTGCCTTTACTAGTTTATGAGTTCATATCTAATGGTACACTGCATGACCTTCTGCACATTGATGTTAGTCTTGAATGCTTGTTGTCATGGGATGATCGCATTAGGATTGCAATAGAAGTAGCAGGGGCACTTGCTTATCTGCACTCGGCTGCTGCAATACCAATTTTCCATAGAGACGTGAAATCTTCTAACATACTATTGGATAGCAACTTCACAACAAAGGTTTCTGACTTTGGTGCTTCAAGGTCCCTTTCACTCGATGAGACTCATGTGGTGACTATTGTCCAAGGAACATTTGGTTACCTAGATCCAGAGTATTACCATACTGGGCAGCTAACTGGAAAGAGTGATGTGTATAGTTTTGGAGTAATACTTGTGGAACTTTTGACAAGAAAAAAACCAATTTTTATCAATGATCTAGGTGCAAAACAAAACTTGTCCCTTTATTTCATGGAAGGATTGCAAGAAGGAGCTATCATAGAAATAATGGATCCTCAGGTTGTCAAAGAGGCAGATCCGGAAGAGATTGGTGATATTTGCTCACTTGCAGAAGCATGCTTGAGACTCAAAGGAAGAGACAGACCTACTATGAAAGAAGTAGATATGAGGTTGCAATTCCTGAGAACTAAGAGGCTAAGAAAATGCAATATTCTCCCAGAGGTTAGTAACTCTGATGCACAGATGCTGCCCAGTTGCTACAGTCTAGAACAAGAACATTCATCCTCACTCACTCTGCCACGCTAAGTATATACGTGTAGAACCACAATTGCGTCCCTCCAAGTATTCATCTGAATTACCATTTATTTTCTCTGGAGTCGTATTATGATACATAGTTCATTTCTTCGCAAAAAAAAATACATAGTTCATTTCAGACAAGAGTATGTCATGTAGTTTCGCTTCGTGTATATTCGCATAATTTAATTGTAAGCCTGTGCCAATTGTGTACAATTGTATTATAATTATTTGCAATGAATATGCTTGTAAGGAATAACTTAAGATACACCACAGTATTTAAGTCATGATGGTGGAGAAAAACATATTTGTGTCGTTGCCATCAAATTTCATACCTTCCACTGCCATGGGCTTTGATGTTCTAGTCCCGGATATGGGTACATTCAGCTATCTCGTCCGATCGTGCAGGTAGTCAACAAATATCTTGATGGACTCCCACACAGTTTTGGGTGGAGTCCTTGACCGCCAGGACGCGCAGCATCTCCAGTGGAACGGCGGTAATGATGACAGACAAGGTGTGGCGGTTTTCGTGATCGTAGTTCCTCCCGGCTTCCACCGCACTCCAGATACCTCGCTTTACAGGACCATTCGCTCGATGATACGGTGCAAGCTCAGCAACAGCCTCACTCGTCAGGACCTGCACCAGATCTGTCCCGAATCGGTTCACCTTCGTAGCTTGCTACTGCTCTGCTCTTCCAATCCGCCGTCGACATCACAGCCCTCCGGCTATTGTATTTCCTCTCGGAGAGCGTCCATGTGGCAGACTTCTTCCCCAACTTTGCATCTGTTCCCACTCTTGGAGCTGCCCTCCAGCGACATACACTGAGCAACCCTCGGGCGATGAACGCCCGCTCTCCTGTGCAACGGTTTCGTGCTCTTACTCAACCAAAATCCTATATGCGACACATTGTTGGTTAGCAGCCCAATTACTGCCGACGAATCCACGCCCGAATGGTAGCCAGTACTTAAGGTTGGTGGCCCTTTGCTACCTATTAACCACAAAATGGTACAAGGCTTTCCAATTCTACTTCGAGGAAAACTCAGGCAGCGGAGAACGTCATCACCTTAGCTGGTGGTCTCGAGTGGCAAGATCTGCCAATTGCATTCAATGTTTACCACAAACTGACCACGCTGCCGCAACACATTGGGAAATCTACATATTCGCAAAGCGTCAAATGGCAAATAAAGCCCCTCAACTGCTGATGATACTCAATGTGGAGACCGAGGTGCACCGCTGCGGTGCCGGCCCCGACCCATCCCATGCAACTGAAGGCGTCCTCATGGACGTGTTCGACCTGTGCGGCCAGTCGTGTCTCGGCGTGGACAAGGTTGGCATCAAGATGAGCTTCACGGGCATATGTCATGAGGACTTCACGTGTCATCCACAATACAACTTCAACATGTCTGCTAGTACCGCCATCAACGCAGTACAACCTTGTCATCTTGCGTGGCTGGTCCGTAAAGGGCTCTTTTAGAAACACGACCATGCCATACACACATATCTTTCCTTAATAATAATAAAGCAAATAGTGTTTCTGGTCGTCCGTCAGGAAAATTGCCCCCGAAGTTTGCACTAATTACCCACTATGCCACCCGTAAGTGATAAAAATTGTTCGGCTGCATCCGCCTTACGTTTGGTTCATATAGAGGCCAACACTATCATATAAAACAAGCATATGTCCTACTTGGGTGGTTGATGCTTGTGTCTTGCATGCTGTAGACCCGGGTTTGATCCTAGCTACCCCTTTTTTTCTTCTTCTTTTTGGCTGCGCCACGTGACCTCTGCTCGACTCGACATGCTTTTCTCTTTGTTTAATTTCTTTTTTCAATTTCAAATATTTAAAAATAATGGTATCTCTCAAATCCTAACTTCAAATCTAACATGTTATATATAAAAAAATTAAGAAAAATGTGTAGATTTTAAATATGCTATTATCTTCCATGTTAATCATTTTTAAAATTATGTTTAGGATGCATCATAGTTTGATGCTCTCACGAAAGCTATTACAAATGAAATATAATATTCCAAATGTTAGTCACCATAAAAATGATTCCATTTAAAAAATATTCTAACAAATTAGAAAAAAGAATCTTCTCAAATTAAATATATATTCATGTTTTTCTAAACAATAAAAATAAAAAAGATTGAAAGACTCTTTCATCGAAGAGCTGAAATGGGTCATGACAAACATTGCTACGATACGTCCAAATTCCATAGTCCAAAAAGAAATACTTAATGTAACTTTATCTATGACATTTGCAAAAACTGAATTAAATAAGTGTTACATAATTACATTGAAGATTGTGATATGTTTTTTCTCCCGTTGCAACGCATGGGCCCTTTTGCTAGTGAAATCAATATCGAGGATCCCTCATTGCCACTGATCTATAACAGGTAATGGTGAGTCCGACACCAGCTCCCTTTCCGCCCAAGCAACTACAAGACGAACATCTTTGGTGGCTATCGCCCCAACTAGCTTTCGCCGCACCTCCTCGATGTCACCACACATGAGAAGCGTCTGCTCAAGCTTGACCTAGTGCGTGTTGTATGCCACAACCCTAACACCTTATCTGAGGACGAGGATGACGAGATTTATGACACCGAGGACGAGGACCAGGAGGAGACGGCGACACCGTGTCCATGGGTCATAGAGAGGAGACGCAAATTGAGGCGCAACAAGATTCTCGTAAGATGAATATTAGTACTGATATGGATGCAACAGAGAAGGTGAACGAAAAAGCTGTTGTAGTCAACGCCTTTTTGTTTGTGATTGACGATGAGCGGCAGCAATGAGCCTTGACAACGAGCGTTGCGGGGATGAGGCAAGGAGGACAGGGCATTGACGGGTGTTGC